AGGCAAATTTGTCCCTGTCAGAAGAACCAAAATGCTGTACTTCATTGTTTAGGGGCACAAGAGAAGTATATGGCTGAGGTCAGGCTTGTTGTATGAACTGGTACTTAATTCCATGACCCACTGGAAATGTGAACATCCATACCAGGGGAGAGGATCCTGTGGCTGTCAGCAGGAGCTGACCCAGGACCTTGTGTTGACTCTACCAAGGCCTTTGTCTGCTCAGCAGTGGGATATCTACTTGCCTGCTCTTTCTCCTGCCCCTTGAATGGAAGTGCAGCAACAAGCTACAGCTCAGGGTGAGCAGCAGCTGGGTTGCTGTATATCTCACAAGCCTCATTTTTAGTCTTAGCATGCAAAGGAATAGCATTAGAAGAAACAGCTTTTAAACATTGTTTTGAAGTCTACCTTAAATTCAGGATTCATAAAGAGGGGCCAGAATCAACAATATCAAGGGGTGTCCTAAACCTGCTTTTCTTTAGTGGAGTCCCTTGGATACATTCATCTACCTTTTCTGTGATATTAGGTTGTGCACCTTATTTCTATCTGATTATGGAGGGCAATAAGATAGGACCCAAAGACTATTATCCAGGGCCTATTCTTGCTTTTGCTGATGTGGATGGCAAATTGACTTCAAGGGAAACTTCGTCATGCTATATTGCTGAAAGCAACATAGAGGAAAGTGCAATTAAAGGGCAAAAAAGAAGGGAATCATTCAGTGCAATGTATTACTTGGATAGCTAGAGCTGACTCTACATAGCAGAGAAAACATTTCTTATTTTCTAGGGAAAGTTTCTTAATGGTAGTTGAGCTGAGATTTTTTTGGCTCTTTTTCAGGTTTTTTATTGAGACATTGATAGAGTATTCCAGTAGCTGCCAGTGTGTAAAGTGGGCAGATCAACCTTGAAATATTTTTGTCTTGGGAAAAATTTGACTCTTGCTTTCTCCCCAGTGTAAATCCAGAATAACAGTAATGACTTCAGCTGAGCCACCTCAGATTTACATCAACATAAATGAGAGCAGGGTCTATCCATGCAGATGCAGCCTGAGGGATTAGGCGTCTGCCTGTGTGTTGTGCCCTTGCTTCAAATTGACACCCTAGCCTTAATTCAGTGGAGAACCAAAGAAACTGCTTGCCCTGCAAATGAGCATTGAAGCTAATGTATCCCGGTGTGGATTTATCAACAGGCTGACACCTCAGTATCCATCTCTTATTTGCATAGCAGAGAAATGTGAATCAAAATGTGAGATTAGTTCTGCACTGATCAGGATAGGAGGTAATTCTGGCATTAGCAGAGCTGCTGGCTCAGCCACAGGGAATTTGGTAGGTAAAAGTGCTTTGTGTGTTGAACACAATGAACACAGCAGATGTGTATAGACCGAGTCCAGGTTCTTATTTAAAAAATAAGGTTTATTAGATAAAACATACATAGAACCAAATAAATCCAATCCTTTATTAAAAAATACAGAAATAATTTTGCAATAGTAAAAGAAAGTACTGGCTTTTTCTATGAAACATAAATCTGAAGGTTTGAGACCTTTTTATTTTATCACAGACGGTCCCCTTCCATACTACAGTCTTAAACATACTGCATCAAATTGTGAAACCCAAGCAAAAGTCTGTTGTACAAAATTAAGAACATTTAGACCAGTATTACTCAGCTTAATTAATATTTAAACAGTAGCATATAGCACACAGAACAGGCAATATACAGCTATACATTAGAACATGCCTCTAAATAGTGACAGAGAAACAACTGGAAGGAATAAGTTGCAGTTAATAAAGAACGCTGGCTGAAGAAATAAAAAAGGAATCACAGTTTGACACTATATTTGGTAAATGGTTGCATATGTATTGAAACACTGTACACATGAAGAATGAATATTTTGGACCCACCATATAGAACATGCTAAATTGACAGTTATTATTTTGCTTGGATGCATGAATATGTATGAGGTGTACACGTGGTGGGCAGGTGCATGTCTGTGTACATACATCATACCAGTGAGTACATACACGCAGAAAGGCACACACCTCCACAGCTGAAGACAAATCACTTCAATAAAACCCTTTGAGGCAGGGTGAGAGCAATGCTAATATGCTGTTTGTCATAATTGTGCCACTCCTGGGAGTCCAGACATTTTATTCACATGCTATTCCCACCCGTAAGTTCCACATTCATTTTACCTCAGCTCTCCCTGGTTTGCATATTTGCAAAGTGAATACAAAACTATTCAATGTAACGCAATGTTCACTGTTAGAGATGGTTTATTAGGGGAGGTTTTGATAGCTAAGAAACAGCAAAGTGTAAAAGGGTTTGCATTGCTTTTCCAATAAGTAGAACTAAGGGACAGATGTCATTTCCCCAATTATTATTAGCATCATATGGTAATCCTGGTATAATTAATAATATATCCTGTATGTCATCTTTAGTAAGAATTCTTGATCAAAAATGGAGAAAAGTTATAGTCATCTAAACCTATGTAGACATCAAAGCAACCCAAATTGTTTATCACCTCCTGACAATAACAGAAAATGAGTGGACAGCAGAATGAACATTAGGCTTACCAGAATTAGAAATCACCTAGATTCAGCATGTTGAGCATTCAGCTTGAGACAAAGCTCAAGGCTCATGGCAGTGATACAAATGTGCAGGCTTGGCATCAACTGGCACAGAACTGCATTGCTGCATGGGGACCTTGAAACTGCTCACAGGGTAAGATGTATCTTGTTCCTCTCTCATTGAAAGAAAGAAAGAAAACAAAAAACAAACAAAAAAAACTAACCAACCAAACAAAAAACCCCAGTGCCAAGGCAAAGATATGTAAAAGATTAATACAGAAATCCTGATTGTTCACCAGTGAGCATGACATAGGAATCCTTGCTCTGACACTGGTGGGGATGGTCTAGATTTATATCAGCACCAGGAAAGAAGCAACTGAGGAAGGTTTACACAGCAGGGCACAATCAAACACTGTAAAGCTGGGTGGTGCTGTGCACTGGGGATAGGGCATCATCACCTTTGGGGGCAGTGGTGGGTGCACTGAGGGAGCTGCCATGGTCTTTTCTTTCCAAGGAGGCAATCAGGCAGCATCATTTACATCACAATCCGTGGGGCTGCTGCTAGTAATGTTATACTGCCTGTATAAATAAATAAATAAACCCTGCCACCTTTTGCCATCAAGAATAGAGTAGGAGCCTGGTGACAACAGTGTGGCAGTGCCAACTTGAGTAAAATCAAACTGAACAATGAAAAGAGGTGGGAGAGTCTGAGCTAAGGACTTTCAAAAGACATCAGCCTTACCTACACATCGCATCAAGTCATAGAACCACAAAGCAGAATCATAGAATAGTTTGATGAGTCAAGTCAGCATCATTCAAGCCCATAATCTTATCATGACAGCACATTTTTATTATATAGGAAATCTCATTATTTACATTCTATGTATAATATACACACTGGCAGGTGAAGAATGCCTGGTGAGCTACTGTACGTGAACTGATTTCTCTGTTTTGAGAGCAGTCACCGAGGAGAAGCCTATGCCATGTACTGGACAGGGTCCTGTTGTCTCCTTTGGGATTTGGATGAGAGCAGCCACACGTGTTTTTCTAATGATATGAGCTGTGGAGATGTTATGTCTATCTGTAGTAAGTGATATAGGCTGTAATAAATTTTGGGGTGACAGAATGCAAGACAGTGTGAGTTTGAATCTTGATTGTAACCGAATTGCTTGTATATTCAGGTTTTATTCTCTCTAGCAGATTTTGTATATGCTTGAAAAAATTAAAATAGTTACATAGTCGCTTGATATCTGATGTCTGTCACAAAATATCTATTCCTAGGGTTGTACAGTACTGAGAAAGAGATGTCATTCACCTTCCAAGGTTAGTAGATATATAAAAAGTCCAATGTTGTAAAATATCTCCAAGATGTGATGAAAGCAGCCCACTTATATAGCTGCTACAGAAACTGAGGCTTATCTAGCAAATCACAGAACATTAAAAATCAAAGCTAACACACTTCGAGCCCAATTAGCAACACAAAAACTGATAGCTGCACATACATCAAAAAATCCCTGTAAATGCCTCACTAGCCTTGGAAGCTAATGGTTAGGAGTTGGAAGAGAGTTCAGTGCAGCATTTGAAAAAAAAAAAAAAAGTGTAAGCAGGAGTTGATCTATTTTGTGGCCTGATTTAAGGCTGCCACTTTCCAGCTGGATAGAAACTGTTCTGCTCTCATCCTTTGCACTGTTTGGAAACAGAGACCCAGAGCCAATATCTGATCTCATTCCCACTGGTAGAAGTATGCAGGAGCCCCACAGAAGCTACAGTCATTACTCTAAACTCACGCTTGTGCATCCATGTGTGAATCTGCCCTGCGTTATTGCATGTATTTCAGTATGAAGGACGAGGCTGTATATATCGAAGTGCCAGTTGCCACATAGATTTTCTCACATTCTTAATGTAGGTTTACAAGCATGGCCTTCCCTCACTGCTGCTTTTGTTTATCCCACCACCACCTTCCAGCTGGCCAACACCACTTCTCTTTCTTCTTCCAGCTTAATGGCTCTTTCCTACCTTCTGTTGCCCTTAGCATTGACAATGGCACCTCTTCTTTCCAACCAACTTTCTGATGCTGACTGAAAGCAGGCTGGACCTTCTCCAGGCCTGAGGAAGCAATGTTGGTGGCTCTGTGCTCAGCACACATCGATGCCCACACCTGCCTAATGGTGTGCCATTCACAGGTCCAAGCCTGGTCCATGTGGCCATCAGCAACAGGGTGGGAGCCAAGGATTCATCCCAGTGAGCAGTGTAACTGAGACTGCTCAAAACAAGGAGCATTTAAGCAGCTTGAATATCAATAGGCAGCTCAGGCAAAGATGGAAGCTAGAGGGGGAAACTGCACTCACCCTGCATACAAGTGCTGAGCCTTTAATGAGGTATTTATTGCAAATAGTAATCAGCGAACTAGTTAAAAACCATCCTCAAAAAGTGCCTGGTGAATGAAGGCAGTGGAAGGGTTTTTGTGTGAGATAAAAAATATGTCAAAAATATACAGACAACCTTATTTAAAGATGTCAGTGAATGGTAGTCTTTGTCACAGCAGAACAGGTACAAGACTTGCCTGTGAAGGGCACTTGATTGAAAGAAAAGAAAGTGTTGCAGAAAACTAGAGAGAAGGGAAATGAAAGAGCAGAGAAAAGCCAAAAGGTAGAGAGGGAGTTGCAGCAGGGGTGAAGGTGACGTCCACGTTTACTGAAAGATGGAAAGGAAGGAAAGGAAGCTATGCTGCAAGAATGGAACAGAGGACAAAAAATGGAAGTAACTACAGTGGGAGGATAGGAATGGAAAGGGATAGGAAGTTCCAGGGAAAAGACTAGATAGCAGAGGAAGACTGAGATAGAGAAGAGTGAGGGCAGGGTGAAGGACTAATTAACCTTAAAAGGCCCATTTGGGTGCTATTTTTCAGGTGCATAAGGTAGGTGCAAGTAAGGGCTGTGTGAGGAGTAAGTCAGATGCGGAGAGCACAGAGAAAAGCTGGAATACAGGAGAGCAGATGGTCTTATGGGTAAGGCACTAGATTTGACCAGAAGGTCTCGGTTCAGGCTCCTGGCTTCACCAATCGTCAGGTTTAACAGTGGAGGTTTAACAGAAGGCGGCAATACTGTTCACCTTCATTGAAGTTTTCCTTCATTTTTCTCAGTGTTCTGCTATTTTCCACTCACATGACTGTGGGAAATTTATGCCATTGACTTCTGTCTGTTTTCAGCATTTGTCTGCAATAGGGAGGGAAAATTGCCTCTAGGAAACTCTTCTCCTTAGGTTGTCTCTTTTGCCTTATCAAGCTGCCAGCTCTCTAAGGCAGGCTGAGCGTCTCATAGTATGACTGCACAGCACTAGACACGATCCCTACACGTTGTTGTGACACAAATACTGATAGTGAGTTTTGATAACAGCAGCCAGAACAGCTTGCATTTAAACTCCTAGTATTGTCAGAGGAGAGATCTATTAAATGAGATACTGATCTCATTTACACTAGTAAAAAAGCAGAATAACTCTACTAAATTTACAGAGTAAATAATTCTACTATATTTAACACTTCCATTTACAAGGTCAATGGAAGACTGGAATTTAAGTTGGTTTCTTGTAAGCATATAGACTGCGTAAGCAACAGATTTTTTTACTACAAAGTTTCTGAGAGGCATAAAATGAAAAGCTGGTGTATGTTGACCTGCTACACAGCTGTGGCTACAGCTGCTTTCTAAAGTTTTTGTGTCACAAGAAAAAAAAAAAGAAAAGAAATGAAAATATGTTTTTCTTTAAATACTCACTCTTACCAAGCTGATCAGAAGCTTTCTGGATGCTACAGCAGATTAGAAAAGCCATGAAGAAGACAGATAGTTTTTAGAGACAGTGGAACCTGTCACTCACTCATGGCTGGGCTTTGCGAACGAAGATTTGGGAAGGCTCTATCCACATTTGTTACAGAGTGGAACCTGTACATGTGGATCAATTCACCATACTGCCACTACAGCAAATACAGGGCCATAAAACACATTACACATCAGGAAACCATCAAAGTGAGGGATAAAATTAATCACTGTTCTTTCACTGGCTTGGATTCACTGCAATTCAGAAGTTCTTTTTCTCTCCTTCTGTGTTGCAACTGAAAGATGCTGAAAGCTGTGAAACTGCTCCACTCCGAAATGTCCTCATTCTTGTACACAGGTTTTTCCCATTCACCACTCTTTTGTAGGTATCTGACAATATGAAGTTGGTTGCATGTATTTTATGTTCAAAAAGGGCAGCATGATCTCAGTTTTATATAGCACTAATGGAAGACTATGGGTAATAAACATGTACTGTGCTATGCAGAGCAAGTTCAATACAGACCTGGCGACAGGGCACAAACTCTGTGGAACTCCAGTGAAGCCTGGGACTTTCCCATTTTTGAGGGACATCCTTCCTAGCTGCTTTACCATGCTATTATTTCACTCACTTCACAGCCTGTCTGTGCAGCGAGACAAGCCTCTCTGAGCAACATGCACACACTCATTCTCCGGTCCGGCCTCAAATGTGTCTTTTTGGCAGCTGCCCATAGACCAATAGGAGCAAGACTCTGTAGTCAGAGATGGAGTCTCTTCTGAAGCCCTGTCAGATTATGGCACTACCAAGAGACTCAACTGTTTGAAGTGTGATGAAGTGCCTTGGATGCTGAAGGAGCCAAAAATTGTGGGTCACCGAGACCCATTTTGAAAAGTTTTATTTTTAAATCCCACCTCAGGCTTTGCCTCAGGAATGTGTGGAAATCTCCCAGTGAAGTCATGTTCAAATCAGGGCGAGTTTCTGCCTAGTGGCACGGCTGAAATCCTCAGGGCACAGGCTTTGGTTTGCTCCAATGCGGAAAACTCAAACCACCCTCTATGAAACTCTTAGCTAAAATGCAAAGCTAACTGGAGAAGGTGTTGGGATCAGGTAGAGGTGCAGCTGGAAGAACTCTCTACCAGGAAGCTAGCAGCTCTCCTGGGAGCAGGGGAGAGTGGGCTGGCCAGCGGAGGCTGTCTCCACCCTTTGTAAGGGAGGATGAAATACCTTGTTAGGCTCTAGTTACTATGAGACATGGCTGAAGCTTGACCTGGTTTATGAGCCAAACCCCAGTCTTATGAATTCAATAGAATAACTTATGTGGACGGACCTCAGTGGGATCTGGGTTTGGCCTAATATGCTTTATTTAGCATCTTGAGTGAGGGAAACATTTTTCTTTAGATTACAGTTGAAAGATTCTTGGGTTTCTGCTTAAGTCTTATGGTGGCAGTATATTGCACACCCATATTTCTTTCTTTTTCTTTAATAAATCACTTTTCTCCTGTACTTAGCCTTTGACCAAAACCTGTCTGCTTGAACTGCAATAAACCTGGCTGGTCAGCGATGTCTCTGCTGAAAACAATCCACTTCAACCACACTATATATGCACTGGCTGACCCCCAGGCTACCACATCTCTTCCTTCTCTCCACTCCTCCAATCCCTCTTGCTCCAGGTACTTGTGAGGAGTGGAGGCTTTGGGAGCAAAGGGAGACAGAGATTATAAATACTTGTTTGTGTAGCCGTACTTCTGAGGCACAGGGATTTGCTGGAGCTGGGGCCAGAATGAGAGAGCTGTGCTCGAATCTATCAGATTTGTGAAGTACAGATGTGATAATTCCACTGCAACCACAAAAGAATTTACAACAGGAAGTACTGCAGCTGTTGCTTATTAGCATTAGTACAAATTACGCAAAACAAATTGTTAGCAGACATGTTTCCATAATGTTTAACTCCTGGCAGTGAATAAAAATGATTTTTTTTTGAGCAAAATTCTAGATTTCCAAGGGAATCGATTTCCAACTGCCCGTGAAGGGAGCACGGATTGGAGAACAGCATGCAAATACTGCAAGGTATGAGGCAATGTGTGCAAGAACTCGCCTGCTTTCTCTGACAAAGGTGTTTGAATCTGGGACAGCAAAACCCCTCAGACCAAATCCCAGGGCACAAGACCTCTTTCCAGCAAAACCAGTTTCAAACCAGGGTAGCAGCTGGTTTTGGTCCTTCCATACCTCCTGCCTTGCTGGAATGAACCAGCAGCAGGCAGTCCTTTTGGGCACCTTCTCTGCCTCCCTCCTTGATGCTTGGGGAAGAGCCAACCAACTGGCTCTGGGGAGGGAGGCTGCATTTCAGAGAGGGGAAGTGCCTGAAAAGCATTTAATTTTAATTAAAAGGGGGCATTTTATTCTTGCCTCCCTCTCCTGTGCCAACAGAGGACCAGTTGTACCCGGGTGGATGTCTGACCCTGGAGATGCTCCTTCACGTGGTGAGCTGAGGGGTCATTCCTGGAAGGACCTGGGGAATCACCCTCTTGTTGTCTTTTTTCAAATAGAAACCATTCAAATGAAAAGAGAGAGAAGGCACTAACTAATTAACTGAAGGTTTTGGGTATGTTTTGGGGAGGTAAGAGCCGACAGATTCCTCCCTGAGCTTGCGCATCCCCCAGACTGCACAGCGAGGGATGGGAGGGTGCTGCACCCCATGGGCAGGAAGGGACCACAGGGTGGCTGTGCCAGGGCAAGAGGAAAGGCCATCCATAACTGCTGCAGTCATGGCTGGGCTTTGGAGGATGGTGTGTGCTCCTGTTGCTGATCCAACACAGAAACTTCATCAGCCATTTTCTTGTTGTTTTGCTAATTGCTGGTTTTGCTAATAATGCTCTATTTAATCTCTTGCAGCCATCCATTCTTTAAGAAGGAAGGAAGTGTTACTCATGAAGACTGCTGACAACCTATAGAAATTCAGCAATCATTAAGGATAATAACAGCCCAGGGTGATGCTTTACCTGCCAGTCCCAAGGGTGCCTGCCTGCATTAATCACACTGTGTGAAGCTGCTAATGCTGCAAAGGCTACTGCACTCCTCAGCCTGCCAAGCAAGACAGTGGGCTCTGAGAAGTGGAGGTATTCCCAGAGGCATTTCTTGAAACTCAATTACGTCTGGCTAGGAAAGGAGGCATTTGCTGGTGCAAGAGAAGAGACTGTGATGTCAGGTGGATGGGAAAGCAATGTGGGTGGCCTATGTTGGCAGCGGATGCTGAGCTGGTCAGCCATGCTAGATGCAAGAAGATGGTCTGCCAGGGAGGACTGTCTCTGTGCTCCCAACAGTTTGTAACTGTCATTTCAGCAAGGGAGAAGTGGTCCCCAAATCCTTGGACTTTGCCTGCTTGCTTCTTTATTTTTAAAAACAGTGAATGCTCACAAACAATTGAAGCTGCCTGAAGCAACCGAAGTGTCTTTTGATCCAGCTATGAGTGCTTAGAAGTAAAAAAGAGGCACATGTGTTGCTTTTAAAGGTATCACACATCCACCCACCTGTTGGGAACAACTGGGTTGGCTACAGCCTGAAGCAAGAGCTGGAAAAGGAATAGCAAGTGAAGTAATTTGTACAAGTGGTGTCTAGAGCAGCAGTCAATGGAGAAGCAGCTGACATGCATGTTCTGGTTCTTCAGCGCCTGTTCTGAGGAAAAGGCCTGACACCCTCAGCACAGCAGAGCTGCTTAACTACCTTCACTAATAAGACTTGAAAGAGAAAAATTATTTACAATTGCAATATTACTGCAGTAATGTGTGTCTCCTAATTGCCTCTCAGTGAAAAAAAAGCCAAAAAACCAAACCACCATACAAAGAGGAATTCTTGTTACAAGCATTACTTACACGTAAAATGAATCCTCTTACTGCCTCCCCTGTGAAAAACAGAACACTAAATCTCATGGCCTGGGCAGTCCTGACATACCTACAGGTGTCATATCGAATGAGATAGCACCACTGACTGTACACATCAGATACATACATAAAACTATTTCAGCATATTGAATCATATGTATGAACATCATTACCACCACGGAGTCTATTAATACTGCATTGGTATTATCAGCCCTCTTGGCTGTAATGTCTGGAGGTGGGTGCGGGGATGGAAGGAAGGGGTGAGACACAGAACAGAATGGGAAGGATTCTTATTCACAGAAGCCTGGTTCTGAGATGGCTTTTTTTTCCCGCTCTCAGAATGAAATGTGAGGCTACAGATTCTCCAGGAAAAGACAAAAAAATGCAAAAATCTTCTTCGAACACAAATGTTCTACTTCCAAAATGTCAAAATGATGTTTTGACATTACTGAAAGCTGTAGTTTCAGTTGAATAGAATTTAATGTTAGAAAGTGACATGCTTTTATGAAGAGTTTTGATTTTGACAAAGTGGGATTTTCCAGCACTGAAGCCATCTGATAAAGTCTAACCAGCCCTGACTATTGATATATTACAGTAAGATGGGGTTTAAAGTGGGGGAATTAAAATCACCTTTTGAAAAAGCACAGAGGTTAACTAAGTTCAAAATTGCAGGGAAATAAAAAGAAAAAGATTGTGTGAGGACTCTCTGAAGGTGATATTGCTAATACAGCAAGATTTTTACATATTTTGGGAATCTTTTTGGGAAAACCCTCAATTTTTTTAAAAAATGTAAGAGTGAAGAATCAACTGTACAAGTTTGATGTTGAAGAAAAGTCACCTCTGCCTCAACCAGACAGCTGACTGAATTTGCATTCTTTATACCACAAACACAAAATGATGTTGTGTTGGATGAGTGTTGTGTTCCAATCATTGGCACATTTAGGGTTCCATATATTACATAACTCAACAGTATATGACTTTTCAATTAACACAATTGTTCAGCTATCCCTATTAAGAGTGTTTTGGCATGCAGACAGGATTTGCTGAAAGCTGATCAGTCCTGTAAAGACACAATCCTGCGAACTTATGACAACTTCTTTTATTGGGGGGAGTAGTCCCCAAGAATTTAGTGAAAGTCTTATAGGATGCGGTTTCTCCTATTTTTAAGGATTTTCAGGATTAGGCCTTGAATGGGTAGGAGTTCTAGACTAGCAACATGCATCAAGTTGAATTTTATTCCAGGAGGTATTTTTGGTAACATTCTTTTCTACATAAACAGGGTCGAATAGCATGATGTCTTGTGTATTATCAGGACCCCATTTCTCAAGTCAGCTGAGCCAACTAGCTCTAAAATCACCTGCATGACTTAAAAACGCTTGCTGCCTGTCCTTGTCATGCACTAAGGGTTTAAACTATATGGACGTGTCCCCTTGTAGTCCTTCTTTTAGATGAAAACAAGAACATACCCATTCCACAGATTACTTCCTCAGCTTGAGGAAGTAATCCTCCCCTGACTACATGGAGTATCAATGGGCACCTTTTAGATTTGTGTAAGAGGCAGAAGTGAATTTTTAATTCACTTGAGACATAAAGTCCAGCACACCTATCTGTGTACTGAAAACCACGGTGCAATCAGAAACCAACCCTACAACATCTGTGCTGGACCTGACCATTATTGCAAAATGCAGAGATGTGCTCAGGTCCTCATGAGGAACACTCCCACCCGGCTCCCTCTCTTTTTCACGGTGCAAACGAAAACCCAGAAATGCTGCCCAGAATTTTTTTCTTAGAGTGCCACAAACTGTGTGCCAGATTGTAACGGCTCGGGGAAGGGAGCTGACAGCTGTGCATGCCAGACACCGTGGGAGCTGTCCACCCCCTGTTTGGTGTAACGGGAAACATCCTGTCAGAAACACTCTCTGCATTTGGGCTTTTCTTGAATTAATTATCTGTAAATGGTAACGCGCTTGTCCTGCTGGGAGTCTGTGATTCCTGGGCGGTACTTACGGATGTGCTCGCTTTGAGTCATGGTGGTCAAAGCTCATCAGACAGAACGGCATCATAGCTCCAGCCACAAGTTTGCTAGGGCTGCTCCCTCTAGCGGGGAAAATTACCCTAGCTGGGAAAAAAAACTTTCCCCCGCTATTTTCTTTCTTTCTTAATTTTTTTTTTAAACTCTCTTTTCTGTCTTTTTTCTCTTTTTATTTTTTTAAATTTTTAAAAAATTTTTTTTAAAGTGAATAATTCAAGTTTTCCAGATAGTGCAAGACAGTTCCCATCAGACAGTAGGTGACCAAATGCTGCACTTTTTCAGTCCTCGAGCAAGGACAGTGTAGCTGGTGCCCAGCCGATGCAGGTCAGCGGTTACTCCTCCGAGGTGGAACTATGGCAAGTGAGGAACATTTCATTTGTCTTTTGGCAGTCCTCAGCATATGCTGTAACGATGTTTGGTTTTGATTTTCCACTTCTGATTACAAAAATAGGACTTACTATAATCATAATAATATTGATGATACAAAATAATTATTGTAATTATATAATTTTTGGCATATTATTAACACAAAGCAGCACAAAAGATCCCATTGGATTAAAAACAGGTGACAATGCACAAATGTTAAAAAAGACCAAGTCTTTGTTAAAAAAAAGGGAAAAGCAATCTGCAAAGGAATGCATTTCTGTAAGGCAATATGTTACCTTTAGTTTTCCGTCTAGATTTAGCTCAGATTCTGTTGTTCAAGAAATTGTTAGAACTTGGCTTGATTGAGCTTATCAATGTGGTAACACAGTTTCAGCGCAGGTCCCAGTTTCAGCCCTAGGTATTTCATGATCATGTCGCTTTTCAGAAGTAACAAAGCATTGCCATCAATCTCCTGGTTTCAAAAGAGAGAAAGAGAATCAAATATGTTAACGTCCTTTCCCCCACTGCGTTCTGACAAATTAAACAAGGTGAATTAGTAACAGCATGTCTTTTAGGGGTAGCTGAAGTGCCATGCATTTTGAAATTTCATTTAAAAAATTGAAATCTGAAGTATACTAGAAGGAAGATGTAAAAGAGAGTTTAATTAAATACTACTTTTTATTCTCCAAGGAACTTTAAGATTTTTCTAGGTTTTCAATTATTTTGCAACTAAAAGGAAGATTTTTTTAAAAATCAGGGTTGCTCTAAACCCAGTTCTTGGAAAAGCCTAGAGAGAAAGGAATGAGTGATGGAGAGAGAGGGATGTGGCCAGGGAACTGCTGACAGCACACCTCTCGATCTCAGTTCCAGCTTTGTCCCTTGCTATCTGCATGTTTCACATATCTCCAGTACGCTTATATCCAGTGAGGCGTGTATATACATGTACATACCATATATATATATATATATGCCACGTATATATATGCCACATATATATATACACCATTCTGTATATATATATGGATTCTTTTCTTAAATTGAAAGCAGCAGTAACTTGCTTATTTCATTGCATTTATTAATAAAATTTGTTAAATTTTAATTTAT